AAGGCAAAGCCGAAAAAGAAAAGGGAAGCTGTAGAGGAGGAGGAGGCTGAGGAAGAAGAACAGGCACCGACAACTTTTTATGAACGTAAGTGGACGCAATCCGCTGAACGTGTGGTGAGGTTGTAAAGAAGTCCAAAAAGAAGGCCAAAGTTGAAGAGGCAAGCTGGGTGCCGGCTGAGCTTGTTCGCAAGACTTCCTCTTTGTCCCCATTTTGCAAGAAACCCAGAAATAGAGAGAGAGAGAGAGAGAGAGAGAGAGAGACTCAAAGGGGGGTTTGGGGTGCTTTCTTTTCCAAGCGGCGTGCCCACACCTTTGAGGGTGTTCTCCCTGCAGACGTACTGAAATGGCCCTTCTGAGAGTGAGATACGCATAGCCTTCTTAGCCTTCGGGCTGGTTGCTGCATCAGCTGCTTCCTTTACCAACTGAGAAGAAGTGTGAAGACGAAAGAGCGGACTGGCCAGACATAGTCAACCGTTTTTGCTTCATTCACGGGCCTCGCGTGGCCTGTTGTGGGTGCCTCCCCAGCTGCTCCAGCCAAGGTTGGTGGTTGGCGATGCTGGTGACATCGGTGATGCTGGTGACATCAGTGATGCTGGTGATGCTAGCGATGCGGGCAATGACACTGGTAATGTAAAAGTGGTAATGCTGGTGATTCGAGTGATGCCAGTGAGCAATGCTTGTGATGCAGGAAAGCCAATGTTTGTGATGCAGGCAATGCTGGCGATGCAGGGCGCTGCTGAGTCAATGCTTGTGATGATGCCGTTGACAGGCAGTGCTTGCTATGCCAGGTGGTTTTGGGAACCCAGAGGCAACAAAACACATGTGTTGAGCCAGAGAGCCAGAGGGGAGAGCAAGCAAAGAGTCGCGGAAGAGGGGAGCTAGGGGGAGATGATGTTGGTAATGCTAGTAATGCTGACGGGCTGGCAATGTTGCCTGGTCGTGGTCATGTTGATGATGCTGGCACTGAAGATGAGTCTCCAGGGGTTTCCAGGTGACGCATTGCGCCTTGTTGGAGGATTGATACGCTGTAAGCCTGATTCCATTTCAGAACGTCGCGCTCGTGCTGAGACATGCATGTTCAAACTGTTTGTGCGACAGGAAGAGGAAGCTCAAGAGGAGGAGGAATGAATTCTGTCTCGGACTTGTACAAAGCTTCCAAGACAGAGATTGGAGCGCTGGCGCTTGCACTGTGCTCCTGCTATTCAACATGTTGGCTTGTGCCTCTTTGTCCTCATGTGTGTTGCTTTACCGGCAAGTTTCACCATGCCCACACTTCGAGGGCAACTAGTCTACATGATCAGTCGAAAAGTAGCGCTTCGGTCGAAGGAGGGGGAAGTAGAGCGAGAGAGAGAGAGGAGAGAGAGAGAGAGAGGGAGAAAGAGAGAGCAACCCCTACTCTATGCTGAGGGCATTTGCATGTTTCCATCTTTGACAGATTAAATACTGTGGGCAACCCCTTGGCTTGATTGTTTATCGCTCTCGTAGGTCCAGGAAGCCACTGTAGTTTTGATCTGCTGGCATTGAGAAAATCAGGGCAGGCAAAACTAGTGCCGCACTCAGATTCCAGGTAGGTCCGTGCATTTCAAGCGGTGTCCAAAACAAAGTAACAAGAGCATGATTAGTTGGAGAGCATCTAATCTAAGACCGAACCAGTGTTTCCGGTGATTTGTTGCTAGAATCCGCTGCCCCGAAGGGCCAATCAGATCCCTGTGAACAGCGCGTGTCTCGTGTTGAATACTTTTGCACGGTCACATCTTTGTCAGCCAGTGTGCAAGTTTGCCTGCACGTGATCACCACACACACACACACACACACACGCACGCACGCACGCACGCGCGCGCGCGCGCGCGCACGCAAGCACACACGCACGCACGCACGCACGCACACACACGCACGCACGCACGCACGCACGCACGCACGCACGCACGCACGCAAGCACACACACACAGCCACACAGACACACACACACAGACACACAGAGACACACAGAGACACACAGAGACGCGCAGGCACACACAGACACACACACACACAGACACACAGAGACTCACAGAGACACACAGAGACACACAGAGACACGCAGCGACACACAGAGACACACAGAGAGACACAGAGACACACAGAGACACACAGAGACACACAGAGACACACAGAGATACACTGAGACACACAGAGACACACAGAGACACACAGAGACACCCAAAGACACACAGAGACACACAGGAACACACAGAGACACACAGAGACACGCAGAGACACGCAGAGACGCAAACACGCACACACACAGAGCACACACACAGAGCAAACACACAGACACACAGAGCACACACACACAGCACACACACACAGCACATACACACAGCACAAACACACAGCACAAACACACAGCACACACACACACACAGCACACACACACACAGCACACACAGAACACACACACACAGCACACACACACACACACAGCACACACACACAGAGCACACACACACACACATCACACACACACACACAGCACACGCACACAGCACACACACACAGCACACACACACACACACACTCACAGAGCACACACACACACAGCACACACACCCACACAGCACACACACACACACACAGACACAGCACAAACACACACAGCACACTCAGCACACACAGCACACACAGCACACACAGCACACACAGCACACACAGCACACACAGCACACACAGCACACACAGCACACACAGCACACACACCGCACACAGCACACACACACACACACAGCACACACGCACACACACACACAGCACACACAGCGCACACAGCACACACAGCACACACACACACACACAGCACACACACACACACAGAGCACACACGCACAGCACACACACACACAGCACAGCACACACACACAGCGCACATCCACACACAGCACACACAGCACACACAGCACACACAGCACACACAGCACACACAGCACACACAGCACACACACACACACACACAGCACACACAGCACACACACAGCACACACACACACACACAGCACACACACACACACACAGCACACACACACACACAGCACACACACACACAACAGCGTTGGGGCACTTGGCGGCACACACACAGCTGTTCACAACCAACGCGCGCACCCCACAACACAACAACCGGCCACGCCACACGCACGCACGCACGCGCCGCGCCGCGCGCTGCGCGCGCCGCCGCCGCCCCGCCCGCCCGCCCGCCGCCCCCGTGGGAATGAACCCACCGCCCGCCGGCGCCCGCACGCACGCCGCCCGCACCCGCCCGCCCGCCCGCCCGCACGCCGCCCGCCCGCCCCGCCCGCCCAGCCGCCCCGCCCGCCCGCCCGCGCACCGCTCCGCCGCCGCGTCCCCGCACGCCGCCCGCACGCACGCACGCCGCCCGCCCGCACGCCGCCCGCCCGCCGCCGCACCGCCAGCCCGCCCCGCCGCCCCCGCCCCCGCCCGCCCGCCCTGCGCCCGCCCCCGCCCCGCCCGCCCGCCCGCCCGCCCGACGCCCGCCCGCCGCCCGCCCGCCCGCCCGCCCGCACCCGCCCGCCCGCCCCGCCCCCCTCCGCCCGCCCGCCCGCCCGCCCGCACCGCCCGCACCGCCCGCCGCCCGACCGCCCGCCCGCCCCGCCCCGCCACCGCCCCCCCCCCGCCGCCCCCGCTCCGCCCGCCAGCCCGCCCCCCCGCCCGCCCCGCCGCCCGCCCGCCGGGCCCCCCGCCCGCCCGCCCGCCCGCCCGCCGCGCCCGCCCGCCGCCGCCGCCCCGCTCCGCCCGCCCGCACGCCCGCCCGCCCCCCGTCGCCCGCCCGCCCGCCGCCCGCCCGCCCCGCCCGCCGCCCGCCCGCCGCCGCCCGCCCGCCGCCCCGCCGCCCGCCCGCCCCCGCCCCGGCCGCCCGCCCCGCCCCCGCCCGCCCCGCCCGCCCGCCCGCCCCGCCCGCCCCCCGCCCGCCGCCCCGCCGCGCCGCCGCCCGCCCGCCCCGCCCGCCCGCCCCGCCCGCCCGCCCGCCCGCCCGCACGCCGCCCGCCCCCCCCGCCCGCCGCCCGCCCGCCCGCCCCGCCCCGCCCGCCCCCCGCCCCCCGCCCGCCCGCCGCCCCGCCGCAGCCCGCCCGCCCGCCAGGCCCGCCCGCCCGCCCGCACCCCGCCCGCCCCGCACCCGCCCGCCGCCGCCCGCCCGCCCCCGCCCGCCCGCGTCCGCCCCGCCCGCCCCCGCCCGCCCGCCCGCCGCCCGCCGCCCGCCCGCCCGCCCGCGCCCGCCCGCCCAGCCGCCCGCCGCCGCCCGCCCGACCGCCGCCCCGCTCCCGGCGCACGCACGCACGCACGCACGCACGACGCACGCACGCACGCACGCACGCACGCACGCACGCACGCACGCACGCACGCACGCACGCACGCACGCACGCACGCACGCACGCACGCACGCACGCACGCACGCACGCACGCACGCACGCACGCACGCACGCACGCACGCACGCACGCACGCACGCACGCACGCACGCACGCACGCACGCACGCACGCACGCACGCACGCACGCACGCACGCACGCACGCACGCACGCACACACACACACACACACACACACACACACGCACACGGGCGTCAGTTATGTAACGTGGATCCACTACGCGCCACAAAGATAGTCTAGGTTCTGCTCAGACCAGTGATTGATCATTCAGCCCATCTTGCCGCTGGTTGCGCTGCCTGAGGATCCATGGGCACCCGCGCTGGATCAATTCCCAGGTCCTTCAGGAAGGCCTTCCCTCTAGGGGAAGGCTGTTTCCTTATGCGAATGTTTCTTTTTGCAGCCCGGAAAGATGTCAGAGAAAGCATGGGGATGGTGCCAAATCATGCTTCACGAGCTCATGCACTCTACGCACACAGGATTTTCCGCTCAGAGCTGCCTCAGTTGCAAATGGTGCGGGCCATGAATCGTATCTCTTTGTGAAAATATTGTAGGTGAACGAACGGCTCGGGGCAAATCATTGGCGCCATGTCGGCCATGGAGGCAAGGAGGCAGATGGCCGAGCGCAGGGCACGGGAGCCCGGGGTGTGCGAGCGAGGGTGGGGCGCGGGTGAGATGATACTCTTCATTTGCAACTGGAGTTCCTGGGATGCGTCGAAAGGATGGTCTTCGCAATGCCATCAATGTCAGCCGCATCCTGTGAGTCAAGACGCGCCCAGCAAGAAGCTTTACTCAAGCTTTTAGTCAACAAGTTCGGACTAACTTACGAACGGTCTGCTGCATCCTGAGAGCCCGTGCCATGAGCATCCACACTTTGATGTTGCTTCACTCCAGATTGGACCTGCGCCGCAAGAAGCCCCAATTCACACACACACACTGCTGGCTCGTGGCAGCGTTTGAACAGTTCAGTCAGCAAATGTTTTGGAGACAGCCGTTCAAGCACCCGTGGCAGGGTTGCATGTATTTCTAGGGCGCTTGCAGGAGATTCCTGTGAACCAAATGGCGTTAGTCGCAAGACTTGCATCATCACGGCTGTTTGTTTCAAGTCATACTGCCTGATAGGTGCAGTGTTTGCTGTTAGTTTGTGTGTGTGCGCGCGAGTGTGCTGACAAAGTTTTGGTTTTCCTTGCTTTTAGTTTCTAGAAACCAGAGCTGCCCTTTTCATGCGGGGCAAGCTTGAATGCAGGACCTACAGCAAACAAGAAACACTGGGTAGTTGCTTCTCATGTAGAGCCAGGGCCACTTTTGGAATGGCGTGAGATAAAAATTGCCTTTATCTTCCAAGCTAAGTCCGTGGTAAGACAACTCGCACTGAAGATTTGCATTGCTCAGGCCGAGCAATGGATATTCGGGAGAAAAAAAACCCGAGGCCCAGACATGTGCTGCTGTTTTGCGTCCAAAGAGCTGTGAGAACGGCAAAACTCCAAATTGCAGTGTCCAGCTAGAGCACTCTCTGGCTCACGTTCCCGCACGTTGTATTTGACATCATGGTCCCCTCTTGCCCTTCGTGTGTTTCTGGCCTCAAGCAATAGGCTCAGCAGGGTTGGTCTACTCCTGTGCCAAGGCGAAGGCGCAGGCCGAAGTGGAGGAGGCAAGAGAGTGAATGCATCCTGCAGGGTCAGTGCACGGGTTCCTTTTGGGGCCGAGTCGGGAACAAAGATTTGGGGGCAAGAAACCGAGCGGGCATGCCCCGTAAGTGCTAGGGGGTGTTGCTAGTCAAGTCAAATGCTTTTGATTTGCAGGCAACGATTTTAACTGGCTTTGGATCAATGAACAGCATCTGCAGTTGCTTTGAGCCATTTGAAGCTGGAGCAGTTTACAAGGCAATGCAGCGTGACCGCAATGCTAGCATTCCCCTCCGACGCGTCGTTGTTAAGGAGAAGCAGAGGAGAGAACAGGAGCGAAGGGAAAAAGAGCGAAAGAAGAAGCGGAAGCAGAAGTACTTGGAAGAAGAGCGGCTGGCCACGGCTGTGAAGGACAGCTGAAGGGCGGCTGAAACGGGCTGCCATGTTCTACAGAATTGTTCGGAACGACAGCTTTGATGAACCTGATCTTCGAGTTTTGCAGGTTGTAACCGTGGTTCTAGCTGTTTGACAGTTGTCCATTCCGCAAATGGGAATATTAGTGCAACGATTCTTAGGCTCGGGCTGGTGGAAGGGTTAGTTCAGAATATTTTTTTTGTCACATCGTGAATCTCAGCGGCTCCACCGTGAACACGCTGCTTCGTTCACCTCCATTCCAGGGCACACTGGCTCAATTTCATACAACCACAGCATCATTTATGCGGCTCCCGTTGAGCTGGTACTCCCGCAGCATGAATGGGTGTGGATTTCACATTCATGGACTCTACTCCAACTCCAACTGCTTTTGCTCATAGTGAGTGCTGACAAGGACCTTAACACCTTGGGGGATTAGCGGAATTCTGCATGGTTTGATGATGTGCAGGTTGCCTCCAGCAACTTGTTTGTCTCGCTTTCCTCAGCACAACACGACCCCTCAACCACAAGCCATGGTATGTTCAAGCGAGACAAAGATCATGTCGTGTGCGACAGCATCGCAACATACCAAATACCAACTACACATCGTCCAACCCATCGGCATTTTCGTTACACCCGACATGCACACAAGCCAAGCCCTTTTGTTCAACTGACCAGCAGTACTTAGCGAACAGAATGACGACATGTTTATTTGAAGATTAGCCTTGTCTTGTTCCTGAAGGCTGTCGAACTCCATATTGGCAAGCCTCCAGCGGGCCCAACGGCAGCAAGTTTCATCCCGCTACACCAGTCGATCCTTGTTGTGTTCGACCATAAGCGTTGCCACATGTGAAGGAGATGGAAGAGGCCAAGAGGCTCACTTGGGAGCAGAAGGTGGAAAGAGTCCAACGCTCAGTGTGGTCGAAAACAGGTGCCAATGCTTGGCAATCGCGATTTTCGAGCGTGTTGGACTCATGTTGCAGGTTCTGACACTGCCAGAAGCTGCCAATGCCAAGAAAATCAGGTACCCTGGTACCCTGGCATTTGCACGTGTCCAACCGGTTCTTGCTTAGTTTTGTGACGTCCAAAACAAACCTGGCGCCTGGCGCTGGTGCCTTCAGGAGTGGTTCGCCTTGGAGTTTGCGCCTGCAGAGCTCCAGGCACGGGCGCGCGAGCGGGTTATATTTTGCAGCATATCTTTTTGAGATTCTATATTAATACATATATGTATATACATACATACATACATATATATATATCTATATATATGAGGAGTAGGTATATATATATATATGTACATACGCACTTACATAGATTTATAAACACTCATGCATTCATACATACACGGCTTCATCCATACGTACTTCCTTGCATGCATACATACATATATATATACATATATATATATATATATATATGGTACCCCCCCAGTACCCAGGTGTTGTTGCATCATGTATCAAAACCATTGATATTTACAGTGTATTTTGGTTGAACTCATGCATTTTCTGCAAGGCCATTTTGTGGACCAAAAAAGCAAAGCACCAAAAAACCCCAAAACACAAAAAACAAAAACAACAAAAGATAACAAACCAAAAAACCAAAAAGCCAATCCTAGCCCCCACCATGGCTGAGATTCTTTGGTTTTTTGGTTTTTTGGTTTTTCGGTCCAGGGGAATGTTGCGCAACAACTTCCAAATGTTGCGCAACATTTGCGGAGCATTCCCAAAGCCTCGGAAATGTTGCGCAACATTTGCGGAAACGATCTGAGAGCCTCGGTGTTAGGCAAGCTGTCGCTTTCAGGAGCCATTTTTAGCCATCATTTCATCTCCCTTGTATTCCGATTCCTGATCTGTCACATGGCTTGGCCAAGTGCAAGTTCTCCCAAGTCTCCATACGGTTTGCTGTCCCTCGAGCCAGTGACCATGAAGGAACTGATCCTTCTCCTGCCCCGGCTTCAACACCTACATCTCCGCCCATTCCGAAGATCATCATCCAAGAGATCCAGAACGGCGCTTTGGCAGCGCATGAGACCAAGAGCAATGCAACAGCCCAGGAAATTGGACAACGCGTGCACTCCATCCAGGCAAGCTTGTGCATCCAACGAGGCCGCTTCGGCGCATGGAATGCTGATGCGCAGCAACGCCTCCACAAGTGGCTGCTCACTGCACAGCGCCGAGCAGGGCAAGGGGATGCGGCGCAGCTGTGCTTGGAGGACAAGAAGCGCGAAGTTCCCCGTGCGCCGTCTCCATCTCCCAACAAGTCTAAGGTCAAGTCTCGGAGTGCCAGTTCTTCATCCTCGTCGTCTGGGTCTTCCTCGTGCTCGAGCGCTAAGGCATCCAAGCCCGAGAGCCCGAAGGCATCACAGCCCGAGAGCCCGAAGGCAATGCTACAACAAGAAGTGAAGCGCCGTGAGGAAGACCTTGGAGCTCGAGACCGTCGTGGCAAACTTGGAGAAAGAGAACAGCATGCTGAAGGCCCAGGCCCGTGCTTTGAAGGCAAAGAAGCAATGTACAAAGCCGTGATGCGCACAGTCGTGGGCAGGCATTGCCATATGAGCGGGGAAAAAAGAAAAGCAGGTTCATTCCTTGTGGCCATGTGCACCTGCTTGCCTGCATGATGCTGTGGCTATTGTTCTCATACGCAACTGTTCGGATCAGTGTTCAAAAACTTAGGTCTGCCACGCCCCTGTCATTAGCAGTTCAGCCATCGGTCATGTCATCCTCGATCTTAGAGGAGGTTTGCCTGAAAGTGGCGTCCATGAATGTGACCAAATTGGAACGGCCTCGTTTTGATCGAAACGACGAATGTGCGTGCAACATGGCTGAACTGCCCCTCAAGGATATGGATGGTGGGAGCAAGGTCAAGTCTGCAGTCGATATTGTTGAACAAGAACTTCTTTGGGGCAACATTTTCGATGTAAAAATATGGAAGCCTTTTTGAGGTCTTGGGTTTGTGTTAGGGTTATATGCGAGCCCACGATAACCCATGGGGCATTCGGCAAAACCGCTGGTGTTGGTGAGCATGGCTTTTGGCGCGGTAGTGCTGTTCCAGCTCAAAATTGGTTTTAGATGCCGATATCTTCGTTATCACTTTTTGTTGCGCGTGTCCATGGGCAGTTGCAGCAGCTGCAAGCATTGCTAGAAGACGCTGCTCCGCAGCATGAGGCGAGCAGACGTGCGACAACCGCATTATTGACTGCTCTGAATGCAGATTTTGATTTGGGCCACAGGCAGCACGAGGAGGGCAGAGGCAGTGCGGCACAAAGCGTCCTTTTTTGTCGCGACTGCAGCTTCAGCATCGCGTGCAGTATCTAAACGGCAAGCTGAAAAGGGTGCAGAGAGCTTGGTGCTATCCAAGCGTGGCCTGCGTTTGCATGACACATGGCTTGTCAGAACGTGTTTCTCTCCAACTACCTTTGCGCAGCGGAGCTTGGCCAGTTTTTGCGACGACTGTCAAGAACGGAGCATTCCTCAGTCTCTCCAGCCGTGACAGAAGCGCACAGTGCCAGCGAAATCCCCCCCGCCCTACCCAAGACACGTCGGGGGCAAAGGGGAGAAAATCCCCCGCCCCACGCAAGGGGAGAAAACCCCCCCCCACCACCCCACCCAAGACACGCAGAGGCAAGGCGGAAACCTCCCCCCCACCCCACCCAAGACACGCACGGGCAAGGGGGAGAAAACCTCCCCCACCCCACCCGCGGTGCTTCAAGTAAGCGCAACTGAGAAGGCAACGGCTTAGTTTGCCTCCAGCCTCCCATGTCCAGCACCAGTCCACGCCCTCGTGAAAGCCTGACTCGAGCACATCCGCCCATCGCGCCATGCCTGCGCACCAACGAACCTCTGCAAGTCAAAACAAGCCAAGAACTTTTTTTGAAAACAACACAGCATTTGACGAGTCCCATTTTGGCAAACCAGACACACAAAGCGTTGCAGCAAACAATCAAGCTGCACGCCCGCCTTCACCCCCCACGCCAGTCGCAGTTTCCAGAAAACGGCTGCCACCGTTGCCAAGACACTCTCCCAAAATATGCACTACGCACAAGAGCTTCACAACGTGGCTTGCCATTCTTGCTCCCCCGCTCTACAAAGCACCCCCCACCCACCGTCCAAAAAACAGCGCCGCAAAAAACAACAAGGTTTCCCCTGGTCCTTGCCGTTCTGTTGCAGCCAGCTGAGCCCACTCTTCGCTCGCTGCTGATTTGCTAACCTCGCGCAAGGCTCGCGCCTCTCTTTCCAACTCTTCGCGGTTCTGGTCGATGTATGCTTTCAGAGCCGCTTCGTTCCCTTGATGCGTGATACTTCTCCACAGCCTTTTTGAAACCGAAGATTCCCAGTGCAGTTTCCCGCCCCCTCGTTTGAGCAAATCTGGGTTTTGCCTTATAGCCAATGCACGTATGTTCATCGTGCGCATTTTTTTGCTTGCTTGCGCGCTGCCAGCCGTCGCTTCAGGTGGGGCCCCCGCCACCTCCGGTAAGCTTCGATGATATACCATTTCGGCTTGCTCTTGCGCAGCTCATCAGCCGATCGTTCCTTTGATTCCTCCTGTCAGAATTGTTGCGCCGCTCTACATCTAGACTGGTGCTGTCCAAGAGCGCCAGCACCTGCGTTGCTCATGGATTTGGGACTTCGGAGTAACAAATCGCCCGAAAACAAAATAAGCTTTGGGAACCTCCGACACAAGCACACTTGGAAGGCCCACGATCTGGGCACGCAACAGCGCTTGACAGCAGTCACCGAACAGCCAAAATCTACTGATCACTGGCTTGTTCTCAGAAATCAAGCAATAACGATACAAGGTGTCGAAAAATCTTCCCCGCGCCACTTCCAAAGATGCTGCTGGATGCGACACGTGCACCATGCGGCGCACATCTTAAAACTCTATTCAATACCTGCGTCAGCACTTGCGGAAAACAGCTCGGACCATAGAGCTGGAGGATGCAAGAATCAGCTCTGTTTTGCTCGCCCACGGCTCCAGGTTCAAGCTGCAAGTGCTGCACTACATGGGCGCGGAGCCGCGCGGAGAACTGCTCAAGTACGGCACAAGAGATTTGAAATATTTACCATGTTCGCGCACAGGTCGTTGCGCTTCAAGGGGTTAGCCACGCTGCGACCGCAAACCGCCGTGTTTGCCACCAAGTTTGCTTTGTGCGAGGCACATCGCCAGCTCAGCACCCTATAGTGAACGCTTGCCCTGTGTTCAGATTGTCTCTTGAAGAAATGAAGGAGCCCGCCTCGTTCGTGCCAAAACCATGTGAATGATCTCAATCTTGCGCCCCTGCGTTGCCAATGCAGTAAGACTCTCTTCCAGCGGTAGGATCATGGAAGTGGCGACGCTGTCAGCGAATTTGGAAGGAAGTGCCATAAGCTCCGTCCACCATGGTAGGTCTACTTCACCCACATGGTTCTGCGCCTTGCAGCATCTAGCGCGCGATAGCCCTGGTCCCCCGGCTTGCTGGTCATCCTGGAGCACATCGGAATATGTACGCAAACGCAAGTCTACTCCATCGTGTATAGGGGGGTGGGGTGGCGGGAGGTTTTCTCCCCTTGCCCCCGCGTGTCTTGGGGCATTCCCTTTGCCCGCGCCGGGGCACGGGTGAATGTGTTTTTGGGGCGAAGCCTCTCGCATATAACGTAAGTAAGCCGATGGTTGTTTAGGTCGAGCCCTTGCTTGTGTTGCGTTGTTTTCGCAGGACTTCCGACAGCGGCTGCAAACCAGTGCACGTCAACGTCAGCAAACATATTCCAGAAAGATTCAGATCTTAAAGGATTTGGATGCTGTTCCACGTATTCGTCCGCGAGAAATACCTCTTCTTTCGTGGGAGAAACAAGTGAAAGGTTTTACGTGCGGCCCATTTTTCCTTCTTCGGCACAACCGTGCGCATGTTCTTGCAGTGGCAGCTGGAGTGGGCTCTCAATGTTGGGGCTCCCGTATGGTTAATATCACATTCATGGACTCCTGCATTCCCCTGCAGAAGTTAGTGATGCTGTCGTTCCCTGACCTGCAGCCCAATACCAATTTTGATGTGTATGCCCTCAAAACCAACATTTGCAAGATCGTTGGTTCAAAGATCGAGTTGCGAGTGCTTGCCGCGGAACTTGTGGAAGCCACTAGTAAGCCACTGGCCCGTGAAGACGACGAGGGCCTGGAGGATGTGTCAGACGAATGCTTGAACACAGCGTCTGACGAGCCTGCGTGGGCTTGCCAAAAAACAGTTTGTTTGTTTTTCACCCTTCGACCCCTGGCAGAAAACAATCCGCAGCAGGAGGCTTTGATTTTCGACACACCCTTGTGTTCCCCTTGAGATAAACACCCCAAGCCTGCAAACGTCGTCGACTGCAGGAGGAAGAGTTCGTAGTGTCGGATGGTGACATCTCGGCGGAAGATGAGTTGGAGGAATTACCGCAGCACGAGCCTCCGAAAAAGGCTCGCGAGGTGCTGCTCCAAGCGCCAGAGGGAATTCTGTGATTGCGTGGAAGGCCATGTGAAGAAAGTGATGAAAGGCAAATGCCTGGTACACCTTCCTTCTAGGAAAGAAGACAAAATCTTTACGTGGAGCAACTTGAGGGCCCAGGAAAAGCCACCGGAAAAGCCATCGGAAAAGCCATCGGAAACGGTGAACGTTTCTGAGCCGGCAGGGGCAAAAAAGTTGGCTGAATACAAGCCATCTAACCCATCTTTGAAAGAGTTGCTAAGAACGAAGACTGATTTTGGCAAGTGTGAGAGGGCGCGGAAAATCACGCGGGCAAAAGAAGCTTTGGGTGGCTCAGTGTGTGGCTGGCGTGCTGGATTCCTTCTGGCCATCATTACGATAGTGCTTTTTCTTGTTTTCCTGTTCTGGGCGTGCTGTGGGCTCGACAGTGGTAGTGTCATCTGGGGAAGCCCATGGTTGTGGAACTTGGACAAAACTTCCGCAATGGTCCAGCTGCTGCTAAGCCAGTGCGGGCATTGGTCTGCGCAGTACTTTCACTGTGAGGCGAGGGCGCCCAAGCGGTCCGCCGTGAAGAACAAGACTGCCTTGCAGATCGGCTTCGACTTCGTCAAAGAAGAGGGGCCCCGCACAACCGTCAAACAGAGTGGACAGAGATGGAGATTCATCGGGAAGGTGGTCCTATCTTTGCCTGGAGCGCAGGCCTTGTGAAGGAGTCTTTGAGGGGATGCTCGTCTTCCAACATCTTCGTGGTGCCCACCACAAACTTTTGCCTGACCCTCCACGATCTGAATGCGTGGTTCCTGCGACATCCTAGCTCCACTTCTCTCAGATACCAAAACAAAGACATTGGTTTTCATGGGCTTAGCGGAGAAGGGCAAGACCCCTGCTGCTCAAGCAATTCCCATGGCCATTTCAGAGTATTATGTCCTCAAGGGAGACAATGTCTTCACCAGCTACGTGGAGAGCCTGGTGTCAAAGCACGCCCAGACATCTTGGATGATGCAGACACGAGCTCCAGTCCCATCCCAAAGCTCAAAGCCTTCCTCGACTCGAGCTTGATGGAATCCCACACAGTCGAGTGGTGGACTACTG